GAGTCCAACAGGTCTGTCATACATACTGAAACTTACTGTGAAAACACAATATTCATGCTTTTTCAGGAGTAGTCAGCCTGTTGTGAGTAAACCAAGGTGTGTGTGTGTGTTGTGTAAAGATGTCCCTCCAGGCAACCGTGCTTTTCTCACAACAGCAGCTGCAGCTTTTCGATAAGCCACTCTAACCAGCTTAACTTTGAAGACAAAATGAAGTGAAAAGAAAGGAAAGACACACTGAGACAATTCAAAACAATTTCTGTTGGGTGACAGTTATTTAAAAACTAGCAGACTAGATTACATGAAACAAGGCATTTTCCTGTGAGAAGGAATTCTGCACCATGTCTGGAAAATCTCCAGTCAGACAGGAGATTGTACTGGAAATTGGTCATGGAAATGCAATTTAGCATCAACACTGTCCGTTTTTACACCAAAGTCACAGCGATGATTCGGGCTATGTAAACGTTTAGACTGTTTCAGCTCTTAACCAAATCAGTGAAGACTGAAAATAAAAAGAAAGTCATTATATAGTTCTATGTTCTCAGAACAACCAGTCACACCTAAGCTTTTAGAATAACTGAAGCCAGAAACACCACAGCATCAGTGGAGGATCTAGGATTTTACTGAGTATGGGGCCATCAAGGGGCCAAACTTGTGGAGGGGTCAAATGTGAGTCCAACATTCTTAAACAAAATGTCACACGGGAAATTCCTATTTATGTCATCAGGGCCACTAATGTTTGGACTTAGAATTGCATCCACCTAAAATCGGATCATACTGCTAAGGATAGATGATGAGTGACAGGATAGGGGAACTTGTGAGGGCCAATCAGATTTCAGCAGTGCCCCTGTGGCCACACCCCTAGAACTGCCGATGCACAACATAAACTTTCATAACAAGTCGTGTCTATCCCCACCGGGTTTCCATTTTTGCATCTTAACATTATAAATAACTCCTGAATGGGCTCCCATCTTTCCCATTCTACTTTTGCTATCCCGGAAGGGAGGAAGGAATCCAATACTTAAGATTATTAGATTAGGAGCAATTTCCTGACTCAACCTGATTACCAAAGCACTGACCTTGGGGTACTTCAGTGTCATATCATTAACCTGACTGACAAGAGCAGGAAGTACCATGCTTATTTTATTGTATTTCTTTTTTCCAAGGCAAAAACACAAAACAATATAAAACATTGGCAATATTTTATTTTACTCTATTTTCATTTAATTAAGGTCCTACTGAAATGAAAGTGTACTCTGGAGGTATGAGGCACTTTGGTGAATTGTGAGCATGCTGTGTAGAATATGCACAAAGCTGAGTCTGTGTATAATACTGAGCAGAATGTCAGTCTTACATTTTAAGACAGATCCACTGTCCATCTATCAACCCCTCCTTTATTTAAAAAAAAACTATATTTACTGGCTATAAAATAATGTAAAATTTTACCGCTGCAAGGTGTTACACTACATTTCTCAAGTATTTGGATGCAAGTTAAATTAAATTATATTTCCTTCTTAATCTGTGAGGTTTTATAAAGAGTTGTTCCATCTTCTGCAGACATACCAGTTCTTCTGGGAAGGCTTTCAAGGTTTAAGAGTTTGTTTGTGGGGACCATTGACTATTCCCCCAGAAGCACATTTGTGAGGTCAGGTACTGATGTTAGACAAGAAGGTCTGGCTCACAGTCTTCTCACTATTTCATCCCAAAGGTGTTCTACTGGGAGGAGGGCAGGAATGTCCCTTCATGCCTGAATGAGGAATGTGCTGAAATGGTGGAATGGCCTATTTTTGCCAATGTGGTATAGATATGCAGTGTGTACACAACTACATATATGTATGTATATATGTATATATATATATATATATATATATATATACACATATATGTATGTGTATATATATATATATATATATATATATATACGTGTCCTGTAATTTCTACTACTTTGCTTGTCAATCTAGCTGTTTTCCACAGCTAAGTCCAGTCAGTGTGAGACACGTTGCGACTTTTGTAACATATTCCAACAAATTCAACCTCCCCCCAATAAAGTAGTAGCCATAGGCATGGAAACACGTATTCTGTATTACTTTAGAAGAAAATGTAACAAGACGAAGGTGTAAAAAGAAAAACCCGGTGTTTTAAATATAAAGTATGCCTCCATTAGATTCACCAGTACTGATTTTCATGTAAATCAAACCAAAACATAAATAATGAATATACTGTTTGCATTTCTGCCACCCCAGATGTTATACACTATGTGCACCAATCATTCTGAGTGTGCACAAGAAGGATCGGTTTGCTATCCCTTGCGCCATCTGTGTTTAAAATGTTCTGGGAGGTTCATTGTGATTGTAACCTGAATGTCTCAGGAACAAAATAAGGCTCGAGTGATTTCAGCCTCACTCTTTGACACCATGGTAACTACAACAAAGAAAACGTTCAGCAAAAAAAAAAAAAGGCAGAAATTTGGGCTGCAGTCCTACAGCTGAACCAAACAGGACACTATCGGTTGTGCTCTAACAGATGCATCTCGTTATGCCACTGCTATCATTTTAACACAGAACTTGGCTTCTGAGACAACAACACAACCGTTTGTGATTAATTATCATGAGACATCTTCAGTCATCTTCTAACAAATGTCTGCTGTTCATGCCAGGGGAACAATGTGCCTCTCCGCTCAACTGAGCTGCATATTAAAGGGGTGATTATCAGGCCCAATTATCAGATGGCACTTGTCAAAAAGAAGCCATGCAGTTAGCCGGAGGATACAGACACAAACTGTTGTTTCTGCGGGAAAATTGCTGAGGATCATTTTTCTTTAATGATGCAGGTGGTTAGGAGGACAAAAATCCTCCTAAAATGTCCTGCATACCTAAAACTTTACTGATAAAACGTTTTATTTTTAAAAACAATGATACATCGTGAATATGTTAGTTAGCAGGGCGTGAAATATGCGTGTTACCTGAGGTCTGCAAATAGGCATCATGGATGGGACAAATAAGCACACAATAGGTCTGATATCAGGATTTTGAGGTAGTGATACATTTCCTGCTAATCATCTTTCGCCCCTAAAGTCAATTTGATGCCCTTGCAGGATTCTTTTTGAAGTTTCATGAGGGTCCAGAGAGAAATTCAACATTTTCCCTGTCTCACACAGTTAATAATTCAACATTTAATAATAAAAATAAAAAAAGAAGACAGGCCATCTGGGGGGAACAATAGTTGTGAATTATTGATCTACTTCTCTCCTCTAGTCACTGCTTATAAGGTGATGTGTAAATAAGAGGAGAAATGAATCTGGACCAATAATCCTCAGCCCCTAAAGGATAATTCGTTGACCTCAAATATATTAAACCTAAATTTCCAATACTTACTTCACAAAATGGTTGGAAAAGACATTTTCACGGGTTTTCTTTCCTGTGTTCAGTTCTTTGTGTTTTCTCGCATCCTTCATGTGGGTAATTGTAACAACTGGGAATAAAGCCTCCCTACGGATTGAGCTTCATTTCCTTACAATTACCACCAATGTCACTCTCAAACCTTTTTTCTTTGAATCCATTATTCTCAACACTCACACAGAGTCCGCAGCCTTTCTGTCTCCCAGCAGGATAAAAAATGTACCAACAGGCCTCAGGGAAGTCAAATTATATCTGTCACCTCTAAAACCCGCCGTTCAGACATGGAATCATCCACAGCGGTCTCGACAGGGATGGTTTCTGTTTACAAACTCTGTTTAAATCATAATCTGATCAAATAAATGTTTAGATTGTTCTACGGTGAGTCTGGAATACTAAGAAGTGGTCATTAAAAATAATAATAATAAAAATAAACTTAGATGGTGGTACCTATTATTCTATTTTCATGCCTCGGAGCCAATCTGAAGCAGGTTCTCTCCAGAGAGAAAACCAGGAGCCACGATGAAGGACACATAGGCTGTGTCTCAATTCAGGGTCTGCATCCTTCGAAGGACCCAGCCCACCCGGCCGACGTGGGCTGCGTCCTCCGTCGGCCGGGTAGACCGGATGTTAACGGCTGTGAATTTGGACAGGCCTAGCCTTCATGAACTCCCTCGGCGAACGTTCCGTTGCCTAGCAACCGTGGAACCGCTGGGCAGAAGGAACCTTAAACGATGGAGCTCGACGTTTTATTTAGCTTTTTAAAGAGTAAGTCAACCCCTACCAGAGTCTAACTCCACTCCCACTTCATGTTTGAAAAATGCAACAAATGCTGTTGCCTGGCAGACCGAGAGGGCGGAGCTGCTAACAAATACACACACACACAGGCTCACGACAGCATTGTGACATCATAATGTACCAGTTTACATCATAGCATACCTCTTAGCCAATAGCGGTGGTAGATTAAAATTAGAATACAGTGCAGAGTTTTTACCTGACGACGGCACAACACTGCCAGTTTTAGGCAGAATATTTAAATTTTAACTAAGATGCACTGAAGTGCCAAATTATTGACGGCACGTGTCTGCAGCACAATTAGACACGCATTTATATAGTTTATCAGCAAAAAAAAGTTTATTTGGGGGTGACTTGCTCTTTAACCCCCAGAAACCCAAATTTAGAAAACAACTGCAAAATATTTTTTAACCTTTCACATGTTGTTCTAGGAGGCCAGATAAACGGGCCTATTTACACATTTTAACAGCCAATAGTGTTGCAGAACTGAATAGGACCTATTAGCAATGTAAATGTGGTTTTAAAAAGAAAAAAAATGGGGAAGGTTTATTTTTGTAGACTTAAATCTGATGTTGTAATATTACAACCGTGGGTCTCTGGGGGTTAATCATTTCCTTGACTGTTGGAGAGCTAATTCAGAGAAAATACTTTAGACTAGCTGAGCCTGAGCAAAGATGTGATAATAGTTTTTAATACTTTCTAAGGGTCTTACTTTGACCAAAACCGATTTATCACCTTTTAAGACTTTTCAAGACCCAGCGGATACCCTCTAGTAAACAATTCTCATTTGTAAACAAAAATAAAATTCAAGAGTTTAATGCAGAACTGATTTTATTTAGATATTTCTTTTACATGTACATGTTTAATCTTCATTAACCATTTTTTTCTAGCAAAGTAAAAAGCTGTCAAAGTTCTTCCTTCTCTCCTGTGCTCTCTGCTGCTCTGCAGCCTCATGTCCTCCCAGATCAGCTCCAGAAGCTCATCGCTGGCACCTTCCCCTGGATGCCCATTTTCTCCAGAATAGTCTTAACAAACATGTAAGAAAAGAAACAGGAAGAGAAAAGAGGACAACGGGTTATTCCTTTCATGTTTTCGCTGAAAAAAATAAACTCAAACGAGTTTTTAAAATATGAGATGTTATTGTACCTCCATGCCACAGCCGCCGAATACTTTGCTCCGGTGATCATGTGGTCCATCTCCGCCCTAAGCTTAATAAATTCCCTGGTTTTCTCTTTTGGTCCTAAAATACAAACTTCTATTAAAATCAGGGGGAAACGTAGCGGGAGAAGTACGACACCGAGCGCGGCCGAACATACGAGCCGAGACCGCAATACAAGCACTTTTACTGTAACATTTCTAACTAAAATAACGTTCATGTATCACAAAAAGTCCTTAAACTGACAGTTTTCAAGTTTATACTTACATTTATATGCGCAATCCTCTCCGACAGCTCCCGCTTCACTGTCCGCCATTGTTTTTAAGTTTTTCTGCCGGCCGGCCCGCAAGGCATCTTGGGAAATGCTACCTATTGAAGGATACACCCGACCCATCCTTCATTCAGGCGAAAAGAAGGCCGCATTCGTCGACCGCATTTGAAGGAGTCTTCGAATTGGGACAGGCCGAGTCGCGGCGCTGTGACGTAACCGGCCGACGAATCCGGCCGAGGTAGGATGCAGACCCTGAATTGAGACACAGCGGTGGTCTTCTGCAACTCCCGGTGGAACACAACTGCTGACAAATATAGTCAAATCTTTCCCACATAAAGCCTCAATGCAAGATGAAGGAACTGTTCATGAAAACAAATACATGAAGAAGTAAAGTGAGTAACTGATATTGTATGTGCAGCGGTAGAGGAATCCTGGTATTCTGATCGGGATAAGAGTGGGTGATGTGTTAGGACTTAACGGCTCGTTCTCTAATTGCAGCACTAGAAAAATAGAAATACATCAGCATATGGTCCTGTTGTCACCACCCATGGTTCACACCCACTCACTCTGAAGCATGCAGCTCATTCTGTGTGTGAGGCGGAAAAACATACAACTAAAAAACACTAAAGTGGCATTGTGTAGTTTCCTGGCTCTAGGGGGCAGTGCAGACATTTCAGGGTAATTTTACACCTTATCGCTGTGACTGTTGCTAGTTTAAAAGAACATTACGGTAAAGGTATTTACCTGTGGAGCAGAAAGCATGCAACCTCAGCGTGACTCCTCAGACTTTGATGGTCCTTCAGTTAAATCCATCGAGCAAATGCTGATGCTAGTTTTCAGGCGCTGTAGTTCCTGCCGATGACGTCATCGTACTACATCAGACGTCATCATACTACAGCAATACCACTCGGCCAAAATAGATTGCATCTCTTTTTTGATTCTGGTCTTTTACATAGGTTTTGAAAAGAGTTAAGCAGTTTTATTAATAAATTAATGTTTCTTACTACCTAAATGTTTTCGAACGTGGTTATGTCCTATCCAGCCAACCATCTAGTGCAGTGGTCCTCAATAGGCGGCCCGCGGGCCCCCTCTTTGTGGCCCCCAAACCTTGCTTCAACACACCTGATTTCAATCAGCAGGTAATGAACAGGCTTCTGCAGAGCCTGATGAGCTGTTGCACAGGTGATGCAACCATTGAATAGTGTGCTGGACTAGAGAAACCATTGAAACGCTGCTGGATACCAACCTTCCAGGCCTGGAATTGAACAGCCCTGCTGTACGGTGATATAAAATAGGCAATACATCAATTTCTTTTAGCTAACCCCGCCACCAGGCCCATAGAGCCTCATGCAATTTCAATTTAGCTCTACTTAGTCTATAGTGTTAGACATCTATTTACGTACAGATGTCAGTCACAGAGCATGCGTGCACATTTGTGGAAGTACCTAGAAGAGTTGGCTGGCTAGAGGTGCACGTTCATGTACAAGAGGCATTGTTCCCAGCCTTAATGACGATCGTAGGGAGAGGTTATTAAGGTGCAATACCCTTTTCCACCTCTAGATGGTGCCATCTGAGAAAAAACTCCAGATTTCTGTTTTAACACGTCGACCGAAGCTTTTTGAGGGATTATATGGTGCCTAAGCCAGCTAATTTCATTTCAGCTCTTCTTCCTCTTTAATTTTCACAAATTACAACTGCTAACACAAGAAAAGAATTTACTTTAATCAGTGAGAGGCTTGGTGAACGATTGGCAGATAGCCAAAGCTGTCAATCAGGCTTCACACCACAGATTATTGAAATAACTTGCCTAATAAAAGAGGTTACATTGTGGTTTAGAGACCTCTCTAGTGTTTAAAAATATCCAAAAAAAAAAACAGAGACCAATCTCACGGTAATGAGATGCCTTCCATGCATTAGATAGTTGCAGTCGCCGATGCGCCAACTATGTGATTCCCAAATGTGCACATGGCAATCAGCCAGATCCATTAATCCATGCTTTCTTGTTTATTTAATCTTTGCACGACCGTGTTCTTGTCGGGACAAAGACGATGGAACACATTTATTGCTTATCCTGGGGATTTGTGTTGGACTTCCATCTTTTATCATGTAGCAAACGCAAGCTGCCGCAGTCATCTCTGTTGGAACGGCAGCATTTGGAACAGTTCTGCACACACTCTGAATGTCCAAAATCAGGAAAACATCACAGTGAGTTACTGGGAACAGGACTCTGGCGGAGCTTAGGAGCTCAAATAATTACATTTTAGAGGAGGTTGAGCATGACCATGACCCATTGAGCCCCATTAACCCTTTCTTATTCACACCCTTCACTCGACTCCACCTAAACACACCACAATCAGGTCCCCTCAAAAGGTTCCTTCTCTCAGCAACCTCAGTTTCTCCTTGTTAAATTCTCAAAACAAAGATAAAAAAATAAGCCATAACCAGGAATTCTAATATTTAAGATCCCTCCTTTACTGAGCAAACAACATTTTCCCATTCTCTCAAATTTCCTTCTCCTTTCCTCTCCTTCTCAGCTTCATCCATCCAAGATCTAATTCATCAATGAATAATGGATGGACAGATAGAAGACTTTCATCTGCAAGGGTCTCTTTCTCTCTCTGTCCTCCTCTTGTAGGATGGCTGCAGTGCTAATGCATTGGAGATGAGCCCAGAGACCTCCCACTCAGTCTGTCTGTCTGTCGGGCCAAGGATTCCTCCATCCCTCACAGTTTCTGATAACATTTATTCCACATGCCGGTTATCATGACCACTATATATATATATATATATATATATATATATATATATATATATATATATATATATATATATATATATATATATATATATATAAGCTTCCCTCTTCGCCATTGTTCTTTTCAGAAGTAGCACAGCTAAAACAGACCTCAGTATTGGTTATCTTTCTTCATTCTGCTCTTGATCCAATTACCTACTACCTTTTTCATCGTTCATTACTTTAGTTCGATCAGTCTCAGACATTGGAATAATGATCCTTGATTTGTATTGACTCTCATCCTGCTGCCTCCAAACCTCTAGGAGGACAAATCTAGGAACTGCAACAGCTAAAAGATCCAACAGAAAAATATCTCATCAATACGCTCTAAAAAAGTCATTCAGCAATCAAAAGTGGTGCCCACTTCACTTTTACCATTTTTGTTTGAATAGCACCAGGATTAAAGGCTCGATCAGGAACCAACCCCCACAAACACACAGCAATTGGTGTTTGGAAGATTGCATGAGCAGCAGCTTGTCGAAGAGACCATCAATAATGCAGGTAGGTGGGAGACCCTGACTGCCACCCCCCCACCCCCCAACACACACACACACCCACCCCCCACCCCCCATCCAGAGCTGTCATGTGCTTTATAGTTGATTAGGATATTCAGTGAAACGACTTTAATCATTTTTGCAGATATGATATATGTATTGCTACACTTGCTGCTTGTTTTACTGACGGGAGAGGTGAATGTTCAGCTTCATCCGTGACAAGTGGCGTGTCCGATGGTTCGCCCAACATGACAGAAGCGGCAGCTGCAGGAGCGGGTTGCCGGCTCAGGAGAGCGTCCAGAGTCTCTTGTCTCTCTGAGGGCGTTTAGGCTCCTTGTGTGGGAAAATGGTCGGTAAAACATTTAGTTTCCGCCTTCTCTTATAGCAGCTCTGGTGAGCTCTTTAAGTAGTTGTGGTCGACTATAAGCCTCAAACGCATCAGGAGAAAAATGTTGGGAACACAGCCGCAGATCTTCGGGAAGTTGTGTCCGTCCACAGGCATCTTCCCAATGCTTTCTCCTCTTCTTGCCTTTGGGAAAGCTGTGTAAACTCACATCACTCCCCTTGCTGCCCTCTGACTGGAAATGACATCCAAAAGCAGCACAATGCGGCATTTTACTTAATTATTAATACGGTGAGCGCGTAAACAAACACTAGCATCAATAGCTATTCTTCCAAAAGCAACCAATAAGCGTCATCACCCCCAGAGTGCATTGCGTGGAGAAAATACGGCATTCTACGTGTGTCCAAAAATGTACTAAATATTATAGATTTATAAATAAACAGCAATATTTTGTGTGTTTCTACCAACATAGTTTGGTGCAACAGAAAACGTGTGGCTTATTAGGGCACACACGTCCTCATAGCCAGAGTTCCTTTTAAGGTGAGAAAAGTATGAAAATGTCTGAAACAATAAGCTTGAAGAATTCTGAGTCTGTAAATCATGTAAATTGGATTATAATTTCCCGCATGGGGAGAGGGACGACTCCAACAGAGAACAAGAACAGTCATAAAAGCTGCTGTTCAGACAAATATGCAACTAGAATATAAATCAGCCCAGCAGCTTTTCACCTAAACACTCATCAGGGTGGTGACAAGACTCAAAATGGCGAGAGATTGAGCTGCATGGATGGGGACAGAAAACTGCAGCAAAGAATAAAATTGCATAAAGATAATTCATCGCTTAAGTTACTGCCTAAAATAACCAGATCATAGAATTAAAACTAGAAAATAAACCAGACAGAACGTACTTAGAGGTTATGGAAGTTCTGGGTTAGTGTCTGATGACTGATGATGATGATAATAATAATAATAATAATAATAATAATAATAATAATAATAATAATAATAATAATAATAATAATAATAATAATAATAATAATAATAATAATAATATTTTGTATCACAACTGGGGGGTCAAATTTAGGGTTCTTGCCCAAGGATACTTCAGCACATTACAATTATACTATTACACAGGCTTTTCTGCCAGTCAGCATTTTTAAAGGTCATTCAGCCAGGATAAAAAGCTGGTTAATCATCAGAGACACTAGTTTCCTCCTACAGTCCAAAATAAAACTGCCTCTCTTCTTTAGGCTTGTCTGATGGCCTGAACAGGATGTAGTCCTTCTCTCTCTTATGCTAGGTCAGATAAAGGGATGCTGAGACAACGCCCCGTGTTCAGTATCAGTATCTTGTTTTTTAGTCTGCTACCAAAGCTTTAAACAAGTCGGTAACACGGCACAGTTTTATCCACATGAGCTCAGAGAACAAAAGCAGCATGATGGAGGCTTTGATGGCACAGGTGTTCATGAACAGTAAGCATCTGTCTTTTAGTTAGCCCGACCAGGTTATTAGATTCATTCTTACACCATCTGTCTGTGGAGGTGTTGTTGTTGGTTTATTATTATTAATTTCATTCTATTTAACACATAAATGATTTGGCCTGTTCTGGATCAGCTCAGCTTAAAAATGC